CTCCCTGAAAGAGCTAAGTAGAGTTATTGTCTTATATGTTACTAGAAAAGTTTATTTGGAAGCGAAATTCTAGTTAACAGAGTTAAGGTCGAAAATTTCAGTATTCCACCGGAGTCGTCGGATTCGGATGAAGAAGATCAGCGTAACGATGCTGTAGACGAGAAGCTTTTTCAACAATGTTTCCTCATCGGAGCGGCCAATTGTTACGGGAGTGAAACCGGAACCGACAGAAGATTTGATGGAGATTGATCCAGCTCCACCTGTCCAGCCTATAGTAATGCCTCCATTTCCCATCGCTGAGAATGAATCGGTCTGGAAGCCTGACATTATCAAGGACGACAAGAAGAATTCGCTGGAATCGCGGAAACGAAGTGAGCTTTTAACTGATCAATAGAGATTCAGGCATGCACTGAAGCATTGTAGTTTTTTGATCTGACAGCTTTCTTAACATCAGCTTTTACAGAAACAGATGTGCTGGATGCAATGTCTAAGGAGCGCTATCTGTTAATGAAGAACCGGACAGCACGACCTGGCGGATTTCCTATACCAAAAGAGGGAACTCATTCAAAAACACGTGAAGCAAGCTGATGAGATCGTCTTTGATGAGGAGAAAAGTACGGATAAGTGCAGGCTTTGTCTCTTGTGCGTAGGAAGTACAGTCTAGTTCACTGCGCATGATAGGACGCGTCAGCGGGATGGATTTGGCGCGGCAACAGCCCGTTTCTTTTCTTTCAGCAACAGGGCACATCATTGATTGGGGATTTTAGGCGAGTCCATACGACCTCCCCGCAATACCACCCCCCCCGCCCCCTTTCTACCAGTTTTCAGATTTTCCCCAACTTCCTTCCTCCCACTTTTCCGAAATTTCCTGAAAAGTTCCCTACCGCCAAAACCTGATTACGACCCCCTCCCTCCCAACAATGACCAAGTATGACCCCGCTACCCCTTATAACGTCCGAGAAAAATCAACTATCAAAATAAATTTTTCCCAGCCCAAATACGACCCCCCTCTCCTGGCGGCCAAATACGACCCCCCCTATTGGGGATTCCCCAACAACGATGTGCCCTGTTCAGCAAGCCGTGAGGCTGCACCATATCTTCCGCGTATTCCATCAATTATTGTCGCTTACTCGCTTCAAGCAAGCTGGTGGGAAAGGGGCTGGCGGCGCGCCAGACTCATCCTCACTGACACGCCCCATCACTCACTGCGCCACGAACAAGACTGGATACCCAAAGTACAGTCCTCATCAGTGCGGATGCGGACTGTCGGGGCGGCTGAGCCGCGCTGCACTGTGACGCGGCTGCGGCTCGGTGACGGCGAATCAGCTGATTTCGATGGAATTCGGCTGCGAATTCCCACTTTTTCAGCTCTTCAAGCTTCGAAAGTGGAAGGTGAGTTATTTTGAACAATTTTGAATTGTACTGGCTCTAATTTCCTTTATTTTTATGTCTATTATTATGCTCTTTTCCTTGTATTTTGCATAAA